TTCTTTTCCACTTTGGGTATCAGTAGGTGTAAGGTTTGAGTTATCTTTTCTTGAAAAAAAAATAAAAACTTGCATAAAAATAAAATTATTTAATATTTTATTAATTATATATATAGCAGAGTGAAACTAGACAGAACAGATGCTGAGACATGTATATTATTATTAAATTCATACATGCTATATTCCTATTTCAAATTTATAACTTTCTGTTTACACCAGCCCCGTACTCGTCTCTTCTTCCATCCGTTTCTCCCTGATTCCCTTAATCCAAACATAATCTTGATGACAGAGCGTATCGCTTTCTAAAAGAACAGAATTCTCCATAAAAAGAACTTTCTAAAAGAACAGAGTTAACTATTGCTTAGTGGTGGTAAATGCAATTATATGAAGAGGACTCCAAGATTGTACATCACCATTTTGTTAATATTGTGTCACCAAATTTACTTTGTCGTTAGATGAGTTTTTACTACTGAGACAATTTTATTACTTGTATTAACAACTAGATCCTTGAGTGTGTAATCAGTTTGTTCTAAGGGAAGTATTATACCTACCTAAATCTAGCTCTATTGTTCATGTGCTACTACTGCCCCCCGATCGCATTTCGCCTGAGATGAACGAAAAAGATAGGCTAAATTATTTCCTCATTAAAAAATTATTCTTGTTCTTGGTCACATATGAAGCGAAATCACATTTTTTATTCTTTATCCAGATCTCGCTACTAATAAAGATATTCGCTTCTTAAAATATCCCATATATATAGGCAGGCGAAAACAGAGACAAAAGTCGGGCTTAACCGAGATTAGTATCTTTTCTTTTCCACTTTGGGTATTCAGTAGGTGTAAGGATTTGAGTTATCTTTTCTTGAAAAGAAAATAAAAACTTGAATAAAAAATAAAATTATTTAATATTTTATTAATTATATATATAGCAGAGTGAAACTAGACAGAACAGATGCTGAGACATGTATATTATTATTAAATTCATACATGCTATGTTCCTATTTCAAATTTATAACTTTCTGTTTACACCAGTCCCGTACTCGTCTCTTCTTCCATCCGTTTCTCCTTGATTCCCTTAATCCAAACATAATCTTGATGACAGAGCGTATCGCTTTCGAAACGAACAGAATTCTCCATAAAAAGAACTTACTAAATGTCTCAGAAAAGAAAAAAAAAAGCATTAATTAGACTGTTTCCAATTTGAGAACATGTTTGCTTAAATTAATGTGCATGGGCGAAATAAATACCCAACAATCTCTACACAGAATATGTACGCGTGTATGTGTGTATATATGAACTGCCAAAACCAAAGAAGCAGCGAGTAAAGTGACTCTTGACATTAGAATACAAAAGCACGCTTATATCAAATGTTCTTTTCTCCGCTCCATCCATCGAAACCCTCTGTAAGTGCAAAAACTCTGCCAGCCAGTGGAGGAGATAATGCAGATACAGCTTTTTGAATTTCCTGATAGACCACAACTGCAGATCATATCATTTGTGACAGGAGAAAGGAAAATAATAACTTGATGTGGTATTGGAAGGCCAGAAGAGAAAGATAGTCAGATTAAGCTTGTCCTTTTTTTTTTTTTGATAGTAAAAGAAGAATTAGTAATGAGAAAGGTAGAGTAGTTACAGCGATGGAGAATAAGGTAGCCTCCTAGAAACCATACTCCCGTCACTTGATGACGACAACCCCCTAGAAGATGGGCCTAGAGTACAAGAAACATGAATATACACACACACTTTCTTTCTTTCTGTTTTTTTTTTGGGGAGTCGAAGAGGAAATAATGATAATTTTTTAATGCTTAGGAACACAGCTTATATATAGGCTGCCTGAGGTTAACCGTTAACTACTTTCAAGAACATTGTAGAAAGAAAAATCAACAATCATGACACGCAAGTCATGCCAGTAGCACATCACAGTTATTTTCAGAACACAGATAAAGGTATCATCACCTATGTGTAAAGTAGACAGAAAATTATCCAAAAAATACCTCCAACATATATCGCGCTGAAAAGTGAATAAGAAGAATTGCTTTGTTTTTAAACCTGTCTGCATAGTTGACTACCTGGAAGTCAAAAATTGAAACAAAATGTAAGAGAAAGGACACAGTTGGGATTCCAGAATGATGTGGTTATTAACATAAACATGCAAAGGCAGTAGGGAGCTTTTACCTCAGACAGATGCATATGTCCATAATCTCTTGCATGCACCACCTCCACTGACTCATCAACAAAGGTGCTCTGCAAAGAAACAAAAGATCAAATAACTCAGAGAAATAGTTATCTGTTTCATGCCATTGCTGTCTGAAGAGTCTGAATTGTGTGAGATTGCAACCGTGCACACACTGGCATACTCGTGCAAGCCCTAAAATTTCCTCTCAGAAAGTGCCATACTAAATATAAAACAATGATGAAAAGATTTACAAATAAAAGAATGTGTTCCTAACTAGTCACTTGACAGTTGCCAAATGATTGTTGGGAGAAAATACACACAATGAAGATAGAAGTAAACCCTTGCCTGACAAATTGAAGGGGAAAACGGTGAGCTGAACTCCATTACATCAAAATTTTGATTTGAAACCTTATCCTCCAATAGAATTGCTAGAAAAAAGAAATCCCCCTATTATAGCCTACACAAAACCTAAGAGTTATCTTCTTCTTTCTCTTCAACCAGTAGAATGTGCTTCCAAGCTTGATGTTCCTGCCTCTAAATATTTTCCATGGACCTACTGGTATTTATTCATTTTCAGGAAAAAAAAAAGGACAAAATTTGCAAAAATCAGATGAAAGAAAAAAAAAAGAAACAGGAAATGTGGAAAGCGGCATGCAGGGAAGAGAGCACTCAATAAACCATACGCCTCAAATGAGATATGAAGGAATAACCAGTATGCTCAAGTTGGAAAGTAATAACAATTAAGATATACACCTCCATGACAAGAATCTTGGCGCTAAGAACATCAGCATTAGCTTCATCAACTATAAAATCAGATGTTGTATCTCCAGTAAATGCAACTTCAGGTGCTGTCACGGTATTTGTAATCTGTCATAATCAATCTTTGAGTAGATAAATAAAAAGACAGTTATATATAAGACGATGGAAATAGCAAAGCAAACAAATATATAATTTTAAACGGCCTCAAGTTAGGACTGTCGAGGTGGACCTCTTCACCGGATGACTTCAAGTTCTTAAGTTCATTTGCAGAAAGGCCAAGGTATTCATGCTTGAGTTTCTGTTTTATGGAGTAAACTACATAGCCCTGCAATAGATCATTAAAGCACCAGTAAACAGATTGATGTATTGATATTCCAAAGAGAAATGATATAAGTAATTAGGCTTACTTGGCTTTGTATGACATGGTAAGTCCTGAAAGCTCTTACTTTCAGGTCCCTTCTTAAATAAAATTCTTCTCCTACAAAAAGTAGCAGGAAATCCAAAAGGAAATATAACCAATAAGAAGTACATAAAGAAGCTCAGATTTTCATTAAATGCATAAAAAAATAAATGTTTGAATTACCCACGTCCAGGCCAACAAGATTATGCTTCAGCTCTGAATGATCCATTTTCCTATGCACCTCAAAAAGTTGTTCTACATTCTTTTTAATAGCAGTTGGCACAATTATTGTTGGGGGCTTCATCCCATATAAGCCTCGAGTTGCAACATACATGGGCAATCCACCCTGATAAAACCATGATAGCATAAGATAACAGCAAAAAGATATTGACACTGGTAAACAATTGTGAAAAGGATAGCATGCTAAGATACTAAAAAGTAGTAATTATAAAAGTTAGTACGTCTTGTGTGCATTAGGCATTTTAAGAGAATATTTTGACTCCAAGACAGATAGCATGCTAAGACAGAGTAAATAGTATAAATGGTAAAAGTTTCTACGTCTTTATGGAAAGCCATTTAAAGAGAACAATTTGAACAAAAGACAATCATAAACAAATGAAAAGGATAGCAAGCTAAGACAGCTATTAATAGTAGAAATGGTAAAATCTGTATGTTTTTGTGGAAAGCCAATTGAAGAGAAGATTTGATTTCAAGAGAAATAGAAGAAAGAACAACTTCTTTTTTTTTCTTAAACAGGAAAATTTGTTGCAATGAAAAACCATGGACTACTTCCATTTTGCTGCATTAGAAATTTGTTGATTTCTGCCTAACATAGCCATGGTGTTTCTCTTAAAATGAATTAATATATTGCTTTAAAATAAAAGTAAGTTAACCAGGAAAAAAATAAAAAAAATAAAGGAGAAGAGAACAGACAATATGATCCATGTGGCCATGGGAAATTAAAAGGAAATCCTGAGAAATTGCACGTTGTGGACATTTGCCAATATCAAAAGCTAATTTGAGAGTAGGAAAAATGATGCAGGTCTCATGTCCTGCTATGGACAATCCCTCCACTGGGTACCCTTGTATTTCTATTCTCTTCTTGTTATTTTTGGGGCTTTTAGATTCTAGACCTTGTTGTTTTTCCTTGCCTGAATTCGACATGTCGAAACCTATGAACTTCTCCTTCTTCTGTCTTTTGGGGCTTTATGGCCTTCCAACTGCAAGTTGAAGTTTGCAGACAGAAACAAAAAAAAAAATGGTATTATTTGTCATGCTCAGTCATGGCCAAAGTAAATTCTTCTATGATAATTAGATTAAAAAAATGCACATCCAAAATTCATGGGCTTATAATACATTGATAACAACATTAGCAGGTATTGACATGACCTCCGTCATAATGAAAGCAAGTTCTTTTACACTAATTAGAGAGAGAGGATTGAGAAAATGAATGCTACTGCATCCATGCGAAAGAGAAGTGGCAGAGAGTGAATGTAAGTGATGCAGAATAAAGAGAAGAATAAATACTTGGGGATACCTTTCAAACTAAATATAAAAATGTGACAATTTGGAATCCTGTGATGAAGAGCTTTGAGAGGAAACTGATGGGACGGAATAGAAACCCCATGAAGAAGGAGACTCCAACTAACAAAAAGAATGATGACCAATATCTACCATTTATTACATGTTTCTTTCGACAATCCCTGTGAGTATAGCCAAAGAACTACAATCAAATCAATATAGATTCTTATGGGGCGACTCAGCAGATGGAAAAAGGTATCACCTGGTGGCATGGAATGAGCTTAAAAGGCCTATGTGCCATGGAAGTTTGGTTTGAGATCTTTGGTGGAGGTGAATTGAGCCTTATAGGGGAAGTAGCTATGGAGATTCATAAATGAAAATAGTAGTCTTTGGTAAAGGGTGATTGATGCGAAGTTTGGGGCCATGGAAAGAGGATGGTATATCAAACAATCAACTGGATCCTAGGGAAAGGGGATATGAAAAAAAAAATACATGAGCAGGAATAAATTCCAGAATTGCGTTGACTAAGAGGGTTGGCATTAGGGACAAAATTAGTTCTGACATGATGGTTGATTAAGAGGGAGGCCACTCAAAGAACAGTTTTCCCGTATCTATGCTATTGCGTTGAACAAGAATATTTCAATCATCGAGTCAAATAAAACCACTAGGCGGGAGGAGGGAATGAATTTAGAAGTTGTGAGAAACCTCAGTGATTAGGAAGTAAATAACTATGAGACTTTCCTCTAAACATTCTGTATCACTACAATTAATGGGATCAAACAATCCTAATCTAGAGATTCAATGTCAAAGGGCCTTTCTCGATCAGGTCTTTCTGAAATTATCTAATTAAAAATGATACTATAGACATCAATTTTCCTTTTTAGCAAATTCCGAAGGTTAATACTCTACTTAGAGTTGCTTTCTTCACATGAGAAGTAGGTCAAGGGTGTATCCTTACTATTAACAAACTGATCACAGGAGGAAAAATATTGGTGAATGGATGTTTTTTTATGTAAAAGGGAGGTGGAATCGTGTAATTACATCCTTCTTTTGTTTTCAGCTTGTGTATAAATTGTAGACTTGGCTTATAGGTTACTAAGGATCAGTTGGCTGATAGTTGATTTGGTGAGGGAAGAGATTTGATCATGGAAGAGTAATAGCAGAGGCAAGAAACATGTTAATCTCATTTCCCTTGCTCTTTTTTGGGTGATGCAAAAAAAATGACAGAACATGAGAGTTTTTGAGTGGTGGAAGATATGGTTGGAGATTGATGGTTAAAGAGTCTGCATTTTTTTTGTTAGTGGAACATCTCTTTATTCAATCAAGGATTTTGGAAATTTTATTGATATTTTAATTGATATGTAAATACTTTTATACATGTGTTGACATTCTCTTAGTGCTTGTGAATGAATCATCTCATAATTTTTACTTCAAAAAATATATTAAAAAAAAAAAAACAATCGAATGACATTCTTCACTACTTATTAGCAGGGTGGAGGAAGAAGGAAATGCTGGAAGGTAAAAACCATGATAATTATTTTCTTCATATTTGATTGAAGCTTATACGGAAACGGGAGGATCTATGATTAATATTTTTAAGAGAAGAATTATGCACTTCAAAACATATTAATTCTGTCATCTAATAGCTCCAATCCATTACCTTTTCAAAGCCTACAACTTTCCAAAAGCTTTAGAAACACACACTATTCTTCTACTCTAGGCGATGATATTTCATTTAAGAAAAGAAGAATTTTTATACGTTAAATCAAAAGGCGAAGATAAAACTTTTCCGAGTCATTATGTGAGCTACAAATCCAAAATGAGATAAAACAGTAGGTATCGAAAAACCTAATGTTACCTATAGAATTAATGCAACTGTACAAGAAGATTTCAAATTCAGCAAGCCAAAGTTACAATTGAATCAATTCAACAAGGGAACTCATTGAGATATTTTATCAAACACGTAAAGAGCAATTACCCAAAATGATTTCACAGACCATTAAACTCCAACTTAAATCCCAATCCAAATAGATCGCACAAACGTTAACCATTTCCCTTTCTAAGAGCAATCAGACAGAAACAATCCTAACTAAAACCTATCCCAGAAACAAATTCAAAGACATTACCCGAGAGAGGCTGTGGGAGAACGCAGAGGGTGGGAGATAATTGTCCGTGAGGTTTGGGGGAATACAGGGTGGTTGAGAGTAGCTGTTTATGAAAGTACATATTCAATATACAGAGTGAAGAAAATATAGCAATAGAATAATTTTAATTTCTAATAAGTTTATTCAATATTAACATATTTCAAATTATAAGTCTCACACTTTTTAATAGTTACACCAATATTATATTCCCCTCCAAAACTATATAATACATTTATCTATCTACTAAGACTTAGAATCAAATTTGACCTCCATGATATATAGTATTTGTGTTAGATTGTATAATTTAATTTCAAAAATAAAAATTTGAATAAGTAAATAAATTAATTTAAATAATAAGCTTTTAAATGCTTTTAATTATATAAACAAATTAATTTAAAAAAGATGTGTTTAAATTTCTTTTAAATTCTATTTTTTAATTTAATTAATTATATATGAATTTTGGGAAAAGTTATTTATTTATTTATTTTTTGTATATGTTATAACAGACTTCTAGACTTTATTATTAATTAACTAATAGTAATTAATATAATTTAATATTTAAAACTTGGAATTTTTGCCGCACATATATGCAGATACATACATACAAATATCAGATGATATTAGAGACGATTAATGATTATCTACCTTCTGGGTAATCTGACTTACAAAATTCTTTTGGATTTTGAAATTTTCAAATATTAATAATATATTTTGTTCTTGAATATAACTATATATTTTAAGGGTTAGTACTACTATCCGAATAGGAAAGTAAAAACCGTTCTCTCCAAATCGGTGTTGGTTTCCGGATTGGAGTAGGAGTAGGAGTTCAGACATGGAATTCAGTATAAGTAGAGTCCATCTCCTGTGTTGGTTTCACTCCAATCTTTCGCTCTTGTCGATTTTACAACATGTCGCTGGAAGTCGATTATAAGATTCGAATAGACTCTTCACGATCCAGGAATCCTCCTTCAAAATCCTCATCGACCATCAGGTTTCAAGTTTTCCATGTGCATCGCGAATGTGTCGAGGTTGAAGATGATGAGATGTACGTGCTCTCCCCCGAAGATAGGAAACTCGTGGGTAATCCTTCCATTGAAATTAATATTGACCCCTTCGGACGCCGTGAAATTGCAAAAATCACCGGTCTGCTCTATGATTTCGGCATTCCCCTGCTTATCGGCTACAAAATTGTGCGGAGAATTCGTAGGTATGTGATGACGACGATTCCCCTTCTCGTGGAAGTCGAAAAGATTACGACCTATGTACATAGGTATGGTGAGAACCCAAACATTACCAGAATTATAGATGATATAAGGGCGATCCGCAGCTTGTCGGAACCTAAAACCACCCCTGCCGCCAAGTCCGCCATTGAAGCTCTGCAGAAATTCGTCTACGATGAACAAGATGATGATTGTAAAAGTAAACAACAATGCACCATATGCATCGAAGATTTCGTTCGAGGATCTGAGCTGACTGAGATGCCTTGCTCGCATCTTTTCCACTCGGATTGCATCGTTGAATGGTTGCAAGTCAATCACACTTGCCCTCTCTGCCGCCATCCCCTTCCCTGCGAATCTTGATTTCGTATCTTTAAAGTTTTCTACACTTGTCAGGAACATTCCAGAAGTTCCTCTCTCTCTCTCTCTCTCTTTCTCTCTCTCTCTGGCTTGTATGATATAAACCTGTGGTCTTATAATATAACAAATATATATATTTTTTTATCAATTAATTATTACCACTCAATTGTTCAACTTTAATTTATTCGATGAAAAGAAAATAGTTCAAGTAAAAATAAGTTTGCAAAAATATACAAATTTATGGTAATTTATGTTTTT